ATGATTCAATGAAAGCGGTGGACAGAAAGCCTCTTTCAAAGAGCAGAAGATGGAGTCAGGCAATAATCCTAGAATCGTATCTTGGACATTTTTGCTGGCCCTTGCTTCTCTGGAGTGGAATTTAGTTTCCTTCTTTTCTTTTTTTCCAAAAACCATGGCACAAATCTTTGAAAGGAACATTTATAACGAGCTGCCTCTTCAGGAAGCCACGTATGGTCTTTTTTGATCCCCAGGTGATAAAGAGCCCTTCAGTCCTACCCCTAGCAGTGGCCACACATCTACAACGTGGCAGCTCCCTGCCAGAGACGAAGCAAGTATCAGCACAGCCAAAGGATTCAACAGCCTGGTAAGGGCCTGGAAGCTGCAGAAAGGTGACACACATCAACCTGACCACCTGACAATTCACAGGCAACCCAACAGTATCCTAAATCTTGCCAGAATTAGGTCCCTTGCATCTAAGGATGGTCYGTCCGACCATGTGACATTTCAAGTCTGCCACAGAGAGGGTACGGAGCTAAAGAGATTTCCCTACAGATGAGGGGCCTGGAGGAGAGTGGTGCCTTTTCCCACATTTGAGCCCTGCTACCTTACCTCTGTGACAACAGGCAGCAGTGGCACCACCTCCCCTTTGGAAAATGAGGACATTCCCTGAACGTTAGCAGCTGCACAGACCCTCGCTTGTCTCCTCAAAGCATTGAACAYAGCTTTATCTTTATAGATTATGGACCATAACCAACTCCAACCAACCTTGGCAAAAGCCTGTTCTTATTAAAMTGGGTTCAAAGAAGGCTCCAAGGGATGTGCATGAAGTTTCCTCGTGGTCTTACAACGGGGTTTTCAGATGAACAGGCTGARGATGTAATTCTCTAGCTAGAGTCTTTCTTCGAGGCGAGGTGGATCCAAGTTGGTTTCCAAGAAGGTGAGTCCCTAACATAGGGTGGAGGACGTGCCCCTAAGCGCTAAAGTCTCCCTGGGAGGTCTGGCTTTCTGTTTAAAGGTAGAGCTGTCTGGTGGAAGGGCATTTTCTCAGTAAAGGGATCACTGTACATTCACACAGGACCTGAGGGGACATGGAAGGGAAGCAGGTTTTACTGGGCTACACCTGAAGACTCTGATTCCCTCCCCTCTCTCTACCATGTTTCCCACCTGATAGACTTTTTTCCTTCAAGGCCACATATCCTGCACCAGAGAAGCAAAGAGCAAAATCCACAGCTCCTTAATCCATTACTCATTTAACAAATAATTGCTTCGCCTTGCATTCACCTTAATTAACAATTAGAGGTTTCATACTCCCATTATGGGCTCTCCGAGGGAGCCAAGTTTGCTAAGAAAGCCAAAAATAAACACTTAAGGGAATCCTAAAATATATGTGTATAAATAAAAATCCAGGTATGTCTCAGCAAGGCTGAAAGGAGGACAGCACCCTGCAGCTCTGCTGAACCTAAGTTCAGCATTTAAGTATTTAAGGCTCCTTTAGAAGGCTGGCATGCAACTCAAAGACCCCATAACACGGACCCTGAAGCAGCCAGTACTTAATCCTCTGGCTAAGAGCTACCTTGCTTAAGGAACAGGGCACACATGCAGGCCCAGTGCTTTGGAGTTAAAGGCTAAATTTACAAACCTGACTTGTGGAGGGCTTCATTCCATTTTTTTTTTTCAAATTCTGACATAAAAGGATTCAAAAATGTCTGTAATTTCCGGGGTGTTGAAACAAGCAGTGATAAATATTCAGAATTCTTTCGAAAGCTGCAGCAGGATTTATGTCAAGGTTAAAGAGTGGGTGTCTTGCATCCCTTCTCACCAGCATCCCCAGCATGTGCAAAGCAAAGACCTCCAGCAGGCCAACACAGAATAAAAAAGGGTGCACCTGAGTGCTCGGAGAAAAGCCAAGTACCTCACAGCCCCAGCACACACTGCAAACACACCTTGACATCTGTATCTCAACGGAGTGAGCATCCCACACTAATGCATGCAGAAATTGTTTATTACTGCTCAAAGCTGTGAGGTTTTTTATTTACTTATTCCATCTTGCAGAAGAGATGTAAGCAAATAGCTTCATCAGATACATTCATGTAATATTTATGCACAAGAACATTGAAAAGACAAGCCCGTGGCTGTGCAGCCCTTCAATGGCACCCATCAAGAATATGCTGGTGATTGGTGCCTTCTTCAACAGGCAGCTGTACGGGCAGCATCTGGGGAGCAGCGAGGAGCGAGAGACACCCCTTGTTTTGGAGAATCTCATGGATGATCAAGGGCATTGTGGCACATCCCCCGGCATATTCATGCTAGGGGTGCAGCGTGAGCTGTAAAGATGTAAACTGAAGCAATGATGAYACCGGCATCCTATCTCCACCGATGGAGCTTAACAGGATATATTCCTTTGCATTTCAGTGGCAATTCTGTACCTGAAGTGATAGCCTTGCATGAACCAGTTGCCCATGAGCAGCCGTTGCTGCAAATCAACAGCTCAAGCACTGGGCACAGCTCTTCTTCAAGCAGGTTTCTTCTGGTGCCTGCAGTGGAAGGTGCTCTGGAAACACCCCAGGGGAGCCCAACTTCCTGCGTTCAGGGCACCTGCAGCTGCTGTTTGCTCTTGATTTACTATCTGACCTACATCCAGCGCTCGCACAGCTCATTTACAGAGTATTTTTTAGTGAACAGTGACCAGTGGTTCATGCATCCCCCCTGTTACAGGCTTTTTCAAGAGCCTTTCCACACAAAATGATCCACTGCCTCCTCCTAAGCTTATTGCTCCCTGTCCCGCTTCTGTAATTCCAAAACGGCCTTGGGATGGTTAGCTGGTATAAAAGCCAATTCTMAACATTAAAGAGATTGCCATTTAGCATCACAAAGGTCTCTCCGAAGCCTGGACCTCAACACTAACACCCCGTCTCCTAGTTTAACCTCTCACATGAAGACACCTTGCAGTGGCCAAGCCACCCTGCAACGTGAGCAGGCACAGGTCTGCCCGCGCGCCACGAGGGCAGCTTCTCCGGGCAGTTTCCACGGTTGTGTGGCAAGTTTTATGGTGAGGCAACACAGCGCTGCTTAGAAGGCAGCATCTCCCATGTATCAGCAGAACCTTGRATTACAGCTGAACTATAATTAAGATAAATTTATTACCTCAAATCTCCTTTTAGCAGAGTTGCTAGTTTCATTTTTCACTTGGTACCTTTCACTGTATGTAAAAATAGCTTTCCCCGTGTTTTAGCCATCTCTCATCTTCCTTGATGGAATCAAAGTTGAATTAAACTATACAATACTTCTTCCAGACACGTTCAGCTAGTTCCTTTGGTTGGTAAAACATAAAAGCATTAAGCAATTTTGGGATGATGCATGATGCTCATGTAAGTACTTAAGTAAGATTTTTTTCTGTCATCTGTGTCTGATAAAATTCCTTCAATTAATCTCTGCACTCCCATGACGAATCTCAGAAGCTACAGTATTGCATTTTGATGCAATAAAAGACAGATGATGTTCTAGAAGAACAGAAAAGGCAAAAAAAAGCCTTGTTAAAAAAAAAAAAAAAAGTGGAAGAAACCCAGGAAAATGCTGGCATAAGAGCTTTTTGTTCCCTTCTACACAAGCAGGTATGAAGGTGGACAAGATTTCTCAAGAACAAGTCAATCTAATTTCTGTCAGCACAACTTCTCACCTTGATTTTTAGCAAGACTTATGACTTCTTACTTGATTTACAAGCAATGCAAACCTCAAATGTAGATGAAACTGTTTAGGTTTGCACTCCTGAGAAAGCCCAGAGTGATTATCAGTAAAACAGCTGGCAAAGAGAGGTATCAAATGGGAATCCAGAGAAGCTTTRCCTGGATCCAAAATATTCAAACCACATAATCCCATCAATTCATTAACGAAAGTATTAGAATATAAGAGTGAAATCAAGCTGGCAAATCATACTAGGAAACAGAACTAGAATTCAAGTCAAGAAAYAGTCTGGAAAAAGCAGATGTAACTGCAAAGACAAGGAAAAATTGTGTTTAACACTTCTGCATTTATGTAATTATGCAAATARAGAAAGGCAACAACTACTCTGCAGTTCTGCAGGCAGCATCCTAAGGACATAAGGGATCACAGACCAAGTACGAGTCAACAATACACAATATAAATAGCAATAGTGCCTTAAGAATTGAGTCTTCCACTGTGCTCAGGATCCTTTAAGCCTCAACTGATGACAACATCCTGTCTGGGCACTGCATTTACAGAAGAATAGCCAAAAAACAGCAGAACTAGAAAACAGAATCTTCAAGAAAACGGTGAAGAGGTGAAATTGCTTCAACGATAGAAAAATAAAAGGGACAGTAACACCCTCTAAATATACTGTAGGTAGCTACAGGCAGAGAAGAGGCTACCCTCTCTTTACACATGCAGCCCAAGTGGCTGCAAACTGTTCTGGAAACTGTCCTCTCGCAGCAAGCCCTTAGGGTGGCTAGGAAGGCTGCTAGAAGCTAAGGACAGGCTAGGAAGCCCCTACGAATGACAAGGTAACAAACCCTTTCTTTAAAGTACTGAATTAGATCACCTCTCATGGTCATCATCTTCCCAGCTATCCTGGCATTTATTTAATATAAACTGGATCTGACCCTAAAATTAACTCCTCCTACAGAGCAGGAGCCATAACTTTCAGAAAACAACCTGCAAGAAGCCACGTACCTTCAGATGTGAGAACTCCTCCTTTCCCCATTTACAGACTTAAATCATTCAAACAGCTGACAGTGTCACATTAGTAATAGGGAGCTTGACACTGGAACTGATTTGATTTATTTTCATAAAGTCACACACTGAAACAGTGCAATATTGTTCTGTTATTGAGCTTTAAGGGTTGCAGAATAAAACATTAAAATCCATGATTCAAAGTTCACCAATTTACAGTCTTTTCCACATAGATGTGGGGTCACAGAGCAAAGCTTACAGCAAAAAAAATAGCAAAGACATCAGGAAGTTTTAACAAGGAAAAGTTGATTAACAAAAGCAGATTCACTTACCTTCCGCAATTCAATTGTAACTTCATTTCTGTGTCTTCTCATAGTCTGTAAAAGAAGAAGAAAAACAAACTTATAAATTGTAAAGAGCAAAGTGCACCTTTTTGAAGCCGACAGCTAAGCTGCACGGCATTTGCTAATCAGAAAACATGGAAAACAGCACATGAATGATTCTGAACTCAGCCTTTCCTAGCAAGATACACAAGGAAGCTTTTTTTTCTTTTTTTTCTCCTCCAATTTGTACACCTTACAGAAAGTTTTTTTTTTTTTTTTAAATAAACCTCAACCACAATAAGTATCCCAAAGGCAGAAAACATTTACTTCCCTCCAGAGTTTCACTGGGATGACTTTGCAAATATTTATCCGCATGCACCAAAGGAAGCCGTAAATACAGGCTTGGACACGCTCCTATTTGCCTATGACCACATCCACAACCCAAACATGCAGCCTATTTCAATATTTGGCCCGTAATAAATGGCAGAGATGACTGAGCTCAATGCAAACAAGGCAGACTGGGCTTATGGGCAGAAAGAAACAAAGTCCTGTGGCCCTGAATCAGCCTGGGATCTAACCACAGGAATGGCAAGCCAGCCTATGTCTCTTAAGCCCTTAAAATATCGGGCACCCCAAATACAACACACTGCTACTGGTCCCAGCCTAAAGAGAGCACAAGATTCAGAACGAATAATCTTGGTGTGGTGAAGGCAACGTCCCCAGGTTCATTTTTCAATCAGGGGAAGAGATAAGGGTGATCCAGGGAAAAAAATTGCCCTGGATGACCGCTGGCAGCCTGGAAAGATCATCCCCGCTAACTAAAATTAGTGTGTGTAACAGGGCAGTGCTTCCCGTGCCCGATCCTTGCCGCTGACCTTCTCTGCGGCTGCGACCCTCCCTTGGAGCCGCGGCGAATAACGCAGCTGAGCCCCAAGCCGGCTCGCGCGCCCGCAGTCGCTTCCCGGCAGCGCTCCGAGGAAAAGCCGGCCACGCTGGAGCCCAGACCCTGGAAAACGCAGGGAGAGGATCTCCCACCATGGAGCTGCACGGGACACAGGGCCTGCGCTTTGGAGATTAATCCAACTTCATGTTTCTCTTACCATTCTGCATCACAATATCCATTAGCTCGCCCAGGGCGGGCCTAAGGGTGAGGAGGGTTTGGATAACGGAGCACCGGGCCGGAACACGCGTCGCTCAAGCAGCAGATGCCCCCCTCACTCTGCGGCCACCTTAAGCCAACAAGGCCTCGCTACCGAAGGAGCGCGGGGCGGCGTGACAGCCTCGGGGCTCCCAGGCACCACGTTTCTCCTCAGGGGTTTGCTGTGGGGGCCGCGCGTGACAGACTCGACCGGGGGCACCGAGTCGGCAGGAACAAGCGAAGAACCTGGAAAATCACTGCGGGTAACGGCCAGACCAGTCATGCAAGTTCCTATGCATGTGAGAGAATTTTGTATTTGAATTATTTTAATTACTGAGTCAGATCTAAGGGCACTATGTATCCTCAAAGCATTTTCCAATGCTTCTCCCAGGATAACTCCATCCTCCAATGGAAAAACGCAACCAGACAAGACTGTGCTAGACCCCTACTATAGAAACTCCTTGATCCTTCTGACTGTGCTAGACACATTCTCTAGGAAGCCCCACTAGTTACTCATTTCCACACAAAATCTGAGCTTTTATTCCCATTTATTTCAAAAGGGGACCCCATCACAAGACATCTTGACCAGCTTACACACTTTAGCYTTCCCCACTTCAAAATCAAGTACACAGATATCAGACCATGAAAGCCCAGAACAGATGCAAGTCATTAAACTTTAACTTGCTTCCTACCTACAATTTAATACCACATCTTCTATCTATGTGAATTATTTTTTACAATATTTGCTCCAAAATTGCAAAAAAAAACGGGCTAAGTGTGAAGCTTTTTAGAACATACCACTTGTGTTTTGTAACCTTTGCAACCTACCGCTCTTCTGGAAGCAAAGAAATTTAAGAAAGACTCTATGTTGCATTGAGCAGTTTGGCAGCTTAGTATTTCTTATTTTTAGAAAAAAATAATGTGCCGCAATCCCAGACAACACATTACTATGCATTTTTATCAATTTACTCTAAAACACCTTCTAACAATACTTTGATTGAAGAGAGGTACTCAGAGCTATCCTGCCATAAGGATTTTACTAGGAAGACTCCAAGCTTCCTTCTAAAGACAGATAATTCACTTCACTTTCCAATTAGGGTTTTAGTTTCCATTATTTTGGCCCCACTAATCCTATCCTGTTACATTTCTGTCTCGGTATTTTTATTACTATTTTTTTTTTAGCTTTTATATTTACTATTTTCTTAAGCTTTTCAAATACTTGACTATCCCAACTTGACTAGTTTTATGTTCAGCTTGCAAGAACTTCCAGCCTTTTCTTCACAAGGAATCCAGAAGTCCCTTCTTTAACTGCACCTGTCAGAAGAGGCCAGTACTTGTGACTGAATCCAGGGCTGCTTCTCCCTTCAGAGCAGGGAAGCCGAGACCAACCAGCCCAGCAGTTAGTGATGACACTCTTGCTGCTACAGTATGAGGTTGAGACACCCAGTCCCCATGAAGCTACCTAAGGCCCGAGTTTCCTGGTGGCACAGTGTCCTGAACTTGGCTTTAGGTCACCTGGATCATCTAGGAATCAGTAGTACAGCACTGGGGGCTTCCTACACACAGTTGGGATGCGAAATTCCCAGAGTGGCTGAGCTTGGCTGTGGGGTCAGCCCCAACATGCGCTCTCCGCTGACGTCCTCCGATACAGTGATTTCTAACGTGATGCTGCAAGTGTTGTGTTTCCCATTTCCCAGTATCGCAGATGACCACTATATACTGATACACTTAAGGGCAGGTTTTCCATCTCATACACATCAGCTCTTGCAATTGCAGACTCTGCACAGAAAATAGATAAACAGGCACTTGGCACCCGTCTGATCTCTGGACTCGGCTGTTCCGCGATTCTGTAGGGAACCTTTGTAGATATCTACAGAAATCCCCTGCTCCAGCAGGCCGCCCAGGACAGTGTCCAGCCAGCTTCTGAATATCCGCAAGGATGRAGACTCCACCACCAATCTGGGCAGCTGTTCCAGTCAGGCATCCTCTCAGCTTTTAGTTTTACGCCTGTTACTTAACTTGCAGGTTCTCTAGGCATTTTCCCCACTGCAATCCTCTCCTCTTTCCTTACAGTGTTACCAGCTCATAGATAGACTGCTCCACAACACAYCACTGAATTTCAGTAGTTTGGCCAACCTTGCCTTAAGACCAAAGTTGTTAAGACCAACTTGATCTTCATCTGCTCACAGGATATACTGACACACATAGAGCACCACGTGTTATACTGGACTATACCTACTCTCCAGGTGTGCTTTTGCAAACTCTATCTTAAAACTCACACGTTGATAGGCATCATTCCTATATCTACCTTTTCCTTTTGCAAAGCCTTTTTTTATTATTATTATTTTTCAATTCCCTAAAACCAGATTTAAGTGAACCAGTTATAAGGATAARCAAGTCAGGACAAAAATTGAAGTTGCTATTCAAAGCTTGTGCTTCTGATGAATCACTTTTGAAACACAATAGGTTATCAGCATCTTGCGACATCCCCAGAATAAATCACACCACCATCCAACAGCACATAAAAACTGTCTTAAATACTGCTGGGATCCTCCCTTTAAGAAAACACTACCGTGGAAGCAGAATACCCCACTCCTTTACCCTTACACTGTCTGCAAGCCACAGCTAGGGATGAAGTGTACGTTTGCCAGAGAAGATGTACACCCCACAGCAGCATGGAGAGCATCTCCCCCAGCTAACAGAAGTCAGCTAAAAGCAGGGAGACAGAACTAGCCCCCACGCCAACCCCATGGACTCATCACCAGCCTTCGGGATGGAAGGACATCCTTCTGGTAAGATCTAGGTGCAGCATCAGTTGAAGGCCAGCAGGACATGACCGATAGATGAAATGCCAAGTTTGGCATCCAACTGCAGTTGTTTCTCAGCCTACTGTGTTTAAAGGACATGTACCTGTACCTGTCTCCAAAGCTACACCAATACAAACCTCAAATGTTTGACAAAATGAACAAAWACACCTACAATCCGGTATTTACACAGTTCTGTAGGTCACAAAATGGTGAGGGCAGACCCTAACCTGCCCTAACCCCCAGGTTACGAGGGCGTCCTGCGCATGGCACAGAAAGCCAGGAATGGAGGAGACTGCCAGCCAACCTTTACCAGGAAGCACAAACACACACCAGTCACCAAGGTGCACGGCAACACTACCAGCTAATTGCTGCACAAGTTCCAGTTCTGTTCACAAGGCTTCTGTAATGTGAGATTTCTTCTTCCACCGCACCACCTAGGAAGGACAATCAGTTACCTGTGTATTTTACGGGCTGACACCACCACAGCAACACACAGTAAAAGTCAATAACTAAAGTCAGAAGTAGATGTTTAGCTATATTTCTAATCTCAAGTTTCTTGCCATTTTATTTTACAAAATAAGTCAGAAAAATAAAAAGATCTACTAGATGCTGTTAGCTAAAATAATGTTCCCTCTTCCACCCTGGATTTCTGACCACCCTTCCAAAGCCAAATGCCAAGTGCTACACACCACAGATCTCTCCCTATCTTTCCTTTATGAGCTTCTCCATAAAGGAAAAACATTCTCTAGTTCCATCAAAGTACCAAAACTGAAATTAATTTCATCCATCAATTAAACAAAAAACAAAACACCATAACACTATGTGCATTAGGGCTGTCATGCTAATGGCTGGAAGAATACAGGCATTAATTGCATTCTAATATTCTACAGCTGGGGGGTTGTTCTGTTAAAAAAGTATTAGGCTGCTTCATCATTGCAACGTCTGAACAGCTGGAGTGCCAGACCTAACAAACTCAGCAACCTTATTTCATACTAGTACTTAGCAAAAAAAAATGCTGTGCTGACAAAAATCTTTATATATTAAGTATAAACATATATATTATACATTTATACATACATATATACTATATGCATATATAAATGGACATTAGA